TCAGCCTCCGGAGTAGCTGGGACTACAGGCGCGCGCCACCACGTCCAGCTAATTTTTGTATTTTTAGTAGAGACAGGGTTTCACCATGTTGGCCAGGATGGTCTCAATCTCTTGACCTCATGATCCGTCCACCTCGGCCTCCCAAAATGCTGGGATTACAGGTGTGAGCCACCGCGCCCAACCTAGTGGCTACATTTTATACAGTGCTGCCTTCTTTAGTTCCTATTATCCTAACATGTTTCTCTTCTTTCTAAAAGTAGGGAGATCATGAACATTGAGAATCATTGGAATAGGCCGGGCACAGTAACTCACACCTGTAATCCCAACACTTTGGGAGGCTGAGGCGGGTGGATCACCTGAGGTCAGGAGTTCAAGACCAGCCAGGCTAACATGGTGAAACCCCATTTCTACTAAGAATACAAAAAATTAGCTGTGCGTGCACTAACACCTGTAATCCCAGCTACTTGGGAGGCTGAGGCAGGAGAATTGCTTGAACCCCGGAGGTGGAGGTTGCAGTGAGCCAAGATGGTGCCATTGCACTCCAGCTTGGACAACAAGCGTGAAACTCCGTCTTAAAAAAAAAAAAAAAAGCCGGGCGCGGTGGCTCAAGCCTGTAATCCCAGCACTTTGGGAGGCCGAGGCGGGTGGATCACGAGGTCGAGAGATCGAGACCATCCTGGTCAACATGGTGAAACCCCGTCTCTACTAAAAATACACAAAAAATTAGCTGGGCATGGTGGCCCGTGCCTGTAATCCCAGCTACTCAGGAGGCTGAGGCAGGAGAATTGCCTGAACCCAGGAGGCGGAGGTTGCGGTGAGCAGAGATCACGCCATTGCACTCCAGCCTGGGTAACAAGAGCGAAACTCCGTCTCAAAAAAAAAAAAAAAAAAAAAAAAAATCATTGGAATAACAAATCAGTATCATTTCCATTCTACCTTATATTCTTTATATTTTATTAAATTAAGAATTATTAAATGCACTTTCCTATGGTCTAAGATCTCATGCCTAAATCTTTTTATGTGACCATTAGGCTAAATTTCACCAGATGATGAGTAAGGGAAACTGATTTCATTTCCACACTGGATAATAGGTATAGGCTTTTATCTTTACCTTATTATATTACAAGTGTCCAAGGTTAGGGCTATCAACAGTTACTGTCTGCTACCTGAGATAACAGCAAACAGCAATTTGAGTTGACAGCCAAAGATTATCTCTGGAGAGCCTTGGGAGCAAAGATATGAGCACAGGGCACAGCGCTGACCTGAAATGCAGCTTTCTGAATTTGCCACAACCTCCTACTTTCATTCGCTCCTTATTCTGCTTCATCTGCTCTATAATGGTCAGATTTAAACATCTGAGGCAGGCACTGAGCGTATGATAATGGTAACAGTTGTAGTACTAGAAGTAGTGGCCAACACTGAGTCCTCACTGTGTGACAGCACTAGCTAAGGACTTCCCACATGCAAACCAGAAATGAAATTCCAAGCTCCCCAACTGACTGAACGGTTCCCCCAACCCTAGCCAGGGGGATCCCAAAGAAACCTGAAGAACTAGTTCAGCCCATGAGGGGAAAAGAGGTTGGGCATGCCTCATTATACCCCCTCCCTTCGGAGTTTAGGCACAACTGACCAGCATTAATACTCAAACAGAGATCATAAGACTGACATAACAGACTCTTTGTAGCAATAAAATATCTACCTGCAACCTGACCCTGATATAGCATCACATGACAGATAGCGGGCCCTGAAAGAAATCAAAGTATTTTACCCCAAAATATATTTCTTTTGGCGAGGGGGAACAGAGCTTGCTCTTGTCACCTAGGCTGGAGTGCAATGGCATGATCTCAGCTCACCTGCAAACTCCACCTCCTGGGTTCAAGCGATTCTTCTGCCTCAGCCTCCTGAGTAGCTGGGATTACAGTCGCATACCACCACGCCTGGCTCATTTTTGTATTTTTAGTAGAGATGAGGTTTTGCCATGTTGGCCAGGCTGGTCTCAAACTCCTGACCTCAGCTTCCCGCCTCAGGTGAGGTGATCCACCCGCCTCAGCTTCCCAAAGTGCTGGGGTTACAGGCATGAGCCACTGTACCTGGCCTTACTCCAAAATATATTTATTTGACATACTTTGAAATGGCCCTGCAAAGCCATCCCTTGTGGGAGAAATGTGTATTCTGTAGAGAAGCCTGTCCCTTTCCAGGTCTTTTCCTGATCCAGGAGAGATCTGACACGTTTTAAGGTCCTATAAGAGATGTTTACCATCTAATCTCTCTGAAGCCTGCTACTGTAAGGCTTCATCTACATAACAAGAACCTTGGCTTCTACAACCCTCTCTTATCTTAACTCCAGTTGACTTCAACTCTTTGGGCAAAGCTTAACTTTTTCAACCAAATGCTAATCAGAAAAATCCACTTACTTATGACTTGTAAGCACCTGCTTATAGATGTCCTACCTTTCCCTGTCAAACCAATTGTCAACGAAAAGAGCCAAACTCTGTAAAATATTTCAAGAGATTTATTCTGAGCCAAATATGGGTGACCATGGCCTGTGACAAAGCCCACAGAAGGTCCTGAGAACATGTGCCCAAGGTGGTCTGGTTTTATACATTTTAGAGAGGCATAAGACATCAATCAAATACATCTAAGAAATACATTGGTTTGGTCCAGAAAGGTGGGACAACTCAAATCCAGGGTGAGGGCGGAGCGGGGGCTTCCAGACTATAAGTGAATTTAAACATTTTCTGGTTGAAAATTGGTTGAGTAAGTCTAAAGACCTGGGGTTTGTAGAAAGGGAACGTTCAGGTTAATATAAAGATTATGGGGACCAAAGTTCTTTTGAAGTCTTATAGTGGCTGCCCTTAGGGACAATAGATGACAAATATTTCCTATTCAGATTTTAGTTAATCTCTTTAAGATTGGGAGGGTCTGGAAAAAAAAGATGTAGCTATGTTAATAGAGATTCTTTATAGATACAAATTTTCCCCCCCACAGAACAGTTTTGCAGGGCCATTTCAAAATATAGAAAAGAAACATGTTTTGGAGTAAAATGTTTCGTAATGTTATGCCAAAGTCAGGTTGGAAAGTAAATCATGATATATAGGGTTAAATAAAATCCACCTGGTGAGAATTTATGATTTGTAGGGCATGACTCCCCAGACCCCTTAGGTAGAAATTTGGGCAAGATAAAAAAAATCAGTTTTGTCCTTACAATGTATAGCTTGCTGTAACTTCTGTCTCCCTAAACCATGCTGTAACCCAATCCCTTGGGCATGTGTTCTGAGGACCTCTTGGCTGTATCGTGGGCCACAGTCACTCATATGTGGCTTAGAATGAACCTCTTCAAATGTTTTAGAGTTTGGCTTTATTCATCAACACGTCATCTTCTCTAACCCTCAAGAATCTTGGGTCATTCTTAGTCACAAGTGTACACTGGCCTTCTGTTGAGGTACTGAGCTGTCAGAAACAATGAGAACCCTCTTTACAATTGAGCACATGAGGGTCCAGACAGAAACAGAATCTGCTCAAAGGCCCAGGGAAGCAAAGACCATAATATTCTCCCTGAGGCAACCAGGGAAACCTGTTGGAAACAGTGTAATATGCCACAAACGAAATCAAATGGTGACTGTCCCATTTTTCCTAGTAACTTAGAAACAATAACATGTCATTTGTTGTGGGAAATTCACTAAGTAAAGCTGCCCCTCCTGAAGCCACTACTGTTTTTTTGCTTTTTTGTCAGCACTAAAAGCAGCAAACTTTCCTAACTACATAAGCATACCGGATTTGGACGTTTAATTTCAACTTCCTGTCAAAAAAAAAAAAGCAAAACTAATACTTTCCAATATAAACCCTAAACCACAAAGTGCCAGTGTTCGGAACAAGCCAGTCTCGGTAGGATGTGGCATGCTCGTAGGAAACCACACCCAGCAACCAGAAATTTATTATGCCCTGGCCCGTTTATTTGAAAAAGACCACAGTCAATGTTGAAGGAAACAAAATAAACTTACACTGAAAATATATTTGTGGAGCAGTTTCAAGCCCTTGGATGTAGCTAGATTAGTATTACTAATTTACAAGCATTCCATTCTTATCCAGTCTTTTTATTATGTGCAGATAGTGTCAAAGAAAATAAACACAAAAGTGGAGAAACCTACACCTCAGTGCAGTCCAACATTTGAAAACTGTGTGCCAATGTTTTGTAAATAATAGAAAACATGTAAAATTCCTCCTTAATGATAATGCTTAGTCAATTCATCTCTCCAGTAACTCAGTTATCTGTTCACAAATACATACATTATCCTTTCCTATCCTCTCAACTGCCCTCTCTAGGGCAGTCACACAGAGCGTGTTGGGCAATATCTGCAGACATTTTTGGTTGTTATAACTTCATGAGGGTGCTACCAGCATTTAGTAGGCAGAGGACCATTTCCTGCCTCACTCAGTCTTCCATCCTTACAGCAGAGCACACACTTGTAAACTGGCCAGCTAGAATTAACTCTGTAATTCCTAATCCAGGACAGAGTATTCCAGAAGGTTGAAACTAGTAAACCGTTTACAAACATTTACATGCAATTTCCAGAAACTTAAGATTCCCAGAAATAATCTGTGGTCTGTGGATTAACTTTTGTTCAAAAGGAAAAAAAGACAATTGTTACCAAGAAATAATAAATAACAGGTTCCAAAATATTAAAAACTGGGATCTGTCTCTTATCCAGTTTCTGCATGACATCATTTTAACATGCTAAAATTAGTCAAGAAAGAACATTCTACAATTACTTTCATGAATCAGTAAACAGTTATTCTCATAGTTCATAAGGCATAAAATCCTACGCTGGAAAACCAAAGACAGCATAGCTACAAATGTTTATCAAGTGTGATTGGTGTAGACAAGTTTTTTTGCTCTTATGCACTTGCTCCCTCTCTTCTTTTTTTCTAAAATATGAGATTTTGCGCTGTCACTCAGGCTGGAGCCCTTTTTGTTCTCTTTGAGGAAGTGGTGTACTCACAGGCTCGGTTCCGGGTTTTGTAAGTACAAGTATAGAGGCTGCAGGGCCTGGCTGGCATGAATCTTGGAAACTGGAACTTTCTCCACAGCAATTTGCCTGGAGATGCTTGAAGAATGACCCTCAGGCTGTTCATCACCACCATCTTTAGCTTGAAATCTTGAACAGTTCCCAACTAAGTTGCAGGAACCTAATAACCTAGGGAAAGGAGGGCAGAGGAGGGAAAGCTGTAAACAACAGAGACTTAAGATCATGGAGAAACCTCTAAGTATAACAACATTCTGACTAGTAATACACACCCTGAGGTGGAGGGAGGGAGGGCAGATGAGAGTCAACAGGTTAGCCACTCTTGTTCCTCAAAGTCACTGGTTCCCTCTGGGGAGAGCAGGGAGGGTCCTGAGAACAGACTCACAAGCTTTGCCTTGCCCTCAGGGTTGGCAAATATTAGAAGTCCAGAGAAAAGCTTCTCTTTATCCACAAGAATGAAAAAACTGTTTACAGTACAGCTTCTTAAAATTAAAAACAAATTGCTTCAGGAAATCCCAATTAATTATCCAGCATGGTATTTACACGTACAAAGAACTCCAACATTAAAGTTCCCTCCCTCCAGGCTGTCTGAATAAAAACAAACATCTGTATCTAGATTGCTTAAGAAACAAAACAAAACGAAACAAAAAACCAAGATACATCCTGCCAAAATAGTCATGGGTAGTTTTGAAATCTGAGCTTAAATATAATCTGTGACTCTGCAAATTTTAGGTGTAACGCAATGGCCCTTGAACATGGGAAAATGGACAAAGTTAATCCTGAATTCTCTCTCTACCTTTCACATGGTCACAGTCAAAGTCTCAGAAGATGATACTTTCCAAGGTATTCACTATGGTGTTCTGAAATTATGATAATATTAACTTTCAACACTCTCCCCACCCCAATATTGCTTCATCCATTTTCCGTGAAAGCTATCCCTGTTCCAAATGAACGAATACATTCTGAAATGGAAAAAAAAAAATACATTTTTCTTGGTTACGAATTCATTCCATTACAGATTTTGAAGTGTTTACTCTGAGTACTTGAGACACATTCAGAGAGCTGTTCAGGACACCATTTGTGCAACCATGACTGTGGTGTGGCTACAAGGCCATGTGCCCTGGCCCTGCTAAAATCTATTTGTACTCCTGCCCGCCCACCAGCTACTTGGACTTCAGTTCTTCCAACTCCTTCCTGTCTTTCCCTTCGGCCTGTGCAGATGCTCTTCTTTCTTGGACTCTCCCTCCATCTGTGCCTGGTGAATCTCCAGCCCCGCTTCAGGTGACTGATGCCAGTGTCACTTCCTCAAAGCTCCCTCAATCACATGCTCACCAGGTCAGCCCAGAACCCTCTTTGTGGTCACAGTGCTTACTGCAGTTGAATTAATATCTGACCAGGAATGTACTTTTCGACTGTATCCTCTCCACTATCTAAGCTCCACTGTGGTAGGGACCATGTCTGCCTTGGTCAGAGCTGCATATCTTAGTTTGGTAGGAGTTACTGATATGCAAATGTAGGCCATTAGAAACTGGGTCCACCCAACATGACTATTCCCACCATTATTGACTTGCCCTTGTCCCCACATGTGCTTGATAACATGGCTACCCCCACATATTCCCACGTGTATAGAACATAATGGTGCCCTGCATTTGCATATTAAAAGACTAGGGTGGAAGGGCCAGTTTTTTCACGGGCTGCATAAATAACATGTCTGGTCAAACTAATCTCCTGAGCCCTATGCAAATCAGACACTGCCTTCTCCAGACTATACATATACCTAGCTGGTTTCCACCCCACTTGGGGTTTCCTCTCTCAGCTTTGGAGCACCCAGCTTTGTCCCTGTAAGGGAAGCTTCTTCTGTCTTCTCCCTTCCTTCTTGCCTATTAAACTCTCCGTTCCTTAAAATCACTCCATGTGTGTCCACGTCATTTTATCTAATTCAACTCAAAACAAAAAACCCTGGTGTTTACCTTTTAAAAAAGTGATGATCAAGGGAAACACACAAGCAAATCACTTGATAGCAGGCTATTCTATTGCCTCAGATTCTACCTTCTCCTGCAAAAAGGATGACTCACCAATATCACCATGGCCAGGGGCAAAAGGCACAAAAAGAGAAGTTGAGGGGCACTAAAGCACACTTGTCAAAGCTGATCATACAAACTCGGTCTTTCAGCCAGGTGCGGTAGCTCCCTCCTGTAATCCCAGCATTTTGGGAAGCCAAAGGGGCAGGATTTCTTGAGCTCAGAGAGTTCGAGGCCAACCTGGGTTACATAACGAGACCCTGTGTCTACGAAAAACAAAAAATTAGCCAGGCATGGTGGTGGGTACCTGTAGTCCCAGCTACTCAGGGGGCCGAGGTGGGAGGATCGCTTGAGCCCAGGAGGTCAAAGCTGCAGTGAGCCATGACCATGCCACTGCACTCCAGATTGGGCAACAGAGCAAGACTCCGTCTCAAACAAACAAACAAACAAAAAAAAAAACACTGCTGCCCCAGGCCAAAAAGAAATCCCGAAATTGGGTGCTTCTTGTCATACCCAACTAAATCAGAGTCAAGGGGACAGGGGGAAGCAGTACTCAGGGCACATAGCACCTGCTCCAAGAATTAAATTTTCCATAAGCCAATTGCTAAAACTGTTGTAATCTGAAACCAGTTTTATCTTCTAGCTACTAAAATAACTTGCTGTGCCTCTCAAAATAGGTTTAGCCACCGCCATCACTTACCAGTTAGTGCTTGTCAGGTCCCAAAAACTTTACTAGTGCCAATGAATTTTGTTTCACAACAATATGTAACATTTCTCCTTTTTATAAAACCTCCAACCTACTCTTTGTTCCTCAGACATGCTGAAGACCATCCAGTCTGTGTATATGACCCAAATTGTGATTCTTGCTTCCCAAATAAAATGTTACATTTGGGCCAGGCACAGTGGTTCATGCCTGTAATCCCAGCACTCTAATCCGGGCACTTAGGGGGCCAAGGTGGGCAGATCACCTGAGGTCAGGAGTTCGAAAGCAGCCTGGCCAACACAATAAAACTCCGTCTCAACTAAAAATATAAAAATAAAAATAAAAATTAGCTGGGCGTGATGGCACATGCCTGTATTCCCAGCTACTTGGGAAGCTGAGGCAGGAGAATCACTTTAACCCCTGAGACGGAGGTTGCTGTGAGCAGAGATCGTACCCCTGCACTCCAGCCTGGGCAACAGAGGGAGACGCCATCCCAATAAACAGAAGTTACATTTAAAGATACATCTCTTTTATTTTGACTTTGATGCATTTCACTTACAGACCTGAACTTTTTTCTTCATACCATCTTTCCAAGAAGAGTGTAAGAAATGAAACCCACATCACGGTTCCCAGTGATGCTGAGCAAGGAGGCAAATATTGTGCTTTCATCCACCCCTCTCTTTGTGCACATTCCTGCTAGTAATTGGCTGTGAACTAGCTCTTCTTTGTACTGTTGTCCTTGACCCTGCTCCATCTGAGCTAGACGGGAGTAGGCTACACCTATGTGGAAGGAGGGAGAATCATCTCTGTGCGCACTGTGAAATGAAGCACACAGCAGGGTGAGAAGCCAGTCTTTCGGCATAGTGCCATGCACTTCACTCTGCATATGCGTCACTTTGCTAATGTGCACTGAACTCAGGGAGCCAGAGATGTGCGGCTATTACATTAAAGGGGACTGGTAGGAAGTCAGTGAATCCCATGGAGGTTCCTTATCTCTAGGCCTAACTTCCTACGTATTAGCTTAGAAGAAAGAACCATAGATTGGGTGGCTTAAATTTGTTGTCTCATGGTTCTGGAGACTAGAAGGCTGAGGTTCAAGTTGTTTGCAGGGCCATTTCCTTCTGAGGCAGTGAAAGGTCTGTTCTAGGCCTCTCTACTGGGATGTTTAATTTTATGTGTCAACCTGGCTAGGTCATGGTACTCATATATTTGGTCAAATACCAGTTTAAATGACACTTTGAGGCCGGGCATGGTGGCTCATGCCTGTCATCCCAGCACTTTGGGAGGCTGAGGCAGGAGGATCACTTAAGGTCAGGAGTTCAAAACCAGCCTGGTTAAAATGGTGAAACCCTGTCTCCACTGAAAATAAAAAAATTAGCTGGGCATGGTAGCTCGCGCCTGTAATCCCAGCTACTTGAGAGGTTGAGGCACAAGAATCACTTGAAATCAGGAGGTGGAGATTGCAGTGAGCCAAGATTGCACCACTGTACTCTAGCCTGGGCCACAGAGCAAGACTCCATCTCAAAGAAAAAATAATAATAATGTCACTTTGAATGTATTTTTAAGATGAGATTAACATTTAAATCAGTAGACTTGAAATAACGTTGATTACCATTCATGTGGATGGGCCTTACCCAATCAGTTGAAAGCCTTGAGTGAAAAAAGACTGAGATCCCTTGAGAAAGAGGAAATTCTACTTCCAGACTGCCTTAAGACTGGAGCTGTGCTATGGTTTGAATGTGTCCCCCAAACTTCATGTGTTGGTAACTTAAGGCTATCCCTAAGTGAAAGGAGAGGAAAAATTATACCTGACAAGCCATGTCCAATGAAAGCAAGTTGCTGAGTTACTTCCTATCACTACCCTTCAAGGAACAATTGAGGGCTCCAGGCAGAGCTCTTTCACTGGCTATCAACAAGCCATCTGCCTGAACAAGTACTGTATCAGTCTTTCTACCTAGTGTCATTTGCCACTTTGCCAATGTACAATGAACTCAAATCACATAAAGAGGGACTGGCAGGAAGTTAGTGAAACCCATGGAAGCATCTCACTTCCAGGCCTAATTCCTTACCCAAGGTGTGTAGGCTGGTGAAATATAAAGTACATCTGCATTATGCAAAGGTGTTTGAAATTCACAAGCCAAAGTTAAAGTCAGTTTTGTTTATAATTTTTTTTTTTTTTTAAGACAGGGCCTCACTTTGCCATCCAGGCTGCAATGCAGTGATGTGACCACAGCTCACTGCAGCCCCAACCTCCCAGATTCAAGCTATCCTCCCACCTTAGCCTCTCACGGAGCTGGGGCTACAGGTGTCAGAGGCATTTGAACCAGTGCAACTCCATCTTGAATACAAGCTGAGTAAAATAAGACTGAGGCCTACTGGGCTGCATTCGCAGGAGGTTAAGACATTCTTAGTTACAGGATGAGATAGGAGGTCAGCACAAGATACAG